GCGCCGGCATGTTGTCTTCACACCTTGGAGCACTGGGTTGAAGTTTGGTCCCTCTTATAGATAAACTTCTTTCTTACATACATATGAGTGTCTATGAATTTGTTTCTCTAGTCAACCCAGACCAACACAGGGAGGAAACAAATGTGAAGAAATAATGGCCCAAAGCCTTGCAAAGCTCATGCGAATGACAAACTCATAGAGCCGAGAACCTACGAAATCTCCGAGTAGGAAAACTGATGAAAATTACACCAAGGCACATCCTTATCATATTGCTCAAGTAAGTTATAAAGAGGCAATCTTTTTAAAACTCGGAGAAAAGAAACACACTCTGACAGAGGAAAAGAAAACAGCGAGAGTAGATTTCCCGTTGGTGACCATCAGATAGAGTCGGACAATTTCTTTAGACACAGAAATTAAAACACAAAAACCTGTCAACGTGGAATTCCACTCTCGGTGAAAATATCTTTCAAAAATGCAATGAAAACAAGGCCTTTTCCTAAGGAGCAAAACCCCTGCAAGGATGTATCACCTGCAGAGTGATCTACAGGATCAAAATGCACTGCTGTCCAGTCGGTTTCAGCTCAGCAGCCCTGAAAGACAGGGTGGCACTGCCCCTGTGGCGTCCAAGACTGTAAAGCTGCACGGAACCCGCCTGCCACATCTTTCTCCCATGAGCCGCGGGTGGGTTGGAACAGCCAGCTGTTTTTGGTTAGCAGCTGAACATTTTAGCTCCTGTGCCACCGGGGCTCCTAGTATTACAAGAAGTGTTCAAAAACAGAGAAGTCCGTCAGGAAGAAAGAAAAAAACATGTATGTATAAACAAAGGAATGAAGACTACTGGAAATGGTACATATGTGGCTGTGTATGATTTCTTAGTTACTATTTAAATCTCTTTATAATACATGACTGTTTAAAAAAATGTGAAAAAACTGGTGTGGAGTTTATCACATGCAGAACTAAAGATCTCTGACAGCAGCAGCGAGGGAGAAACGTGAGTGGTGAGCAGCATAATTTCAGGGAGACTGTGATGACCCAAACCCCTAGGAGTTCCTGGGAGGTGCCAAGGGTGAAGCCTGGGACTGCTCACCCTGAAGTTAGTGAACCGCAGACAGCCTCACCACCCGCTCTCAGCCGCTGGGTTGGAGGCTTTGTTCCACCAATTTCTGAGATTAGCAGCCTCATGCTTATCCCACAGCGACCCCGGGAATCCTCATTGCCTGGTGTACTGGGGCTCAACCCGTAATGTTGAAGGAATGCCTACAGTGCCCAGACAGCCTGCAGGAGGAGCGTGTAGCTCTGCTGGTCCCGGAACTGCAGTCTGACTTACTTCAAGGAGGAGTCCCCGACACCAATGCAGCCTCGCAGGCTGAGCTTCCTCAGGAACCCGCCGCATCGCTTAGAGATATTTTCCACCACTCGACCCTTGAATCAAAAAGTGGGAAAGGGTATCATTTTTTGGTCTAAAAGCAACATAACCTGAAATTTAGGAGCTGATTATAGACGCAGTCCCCAGATTATGAGTGAGTTCCATTACCAAGAATGTCTTTCAACCACATTTGTACTTAGATCAGAACAGTTAGGTGTGGGCAGTTCATCACGTTTGTCTTAGTATTTAGTGTACCTTTCTATGCAAAAAAAATTAAAGAAACACATCGAAACACACTGACCCATTTTTAATGTAACACTGATGATCATGTTGATGTGCAAGGCAAAGTCTCAACTATTAGTCATTATAAACCACCATGTGTACTTCGCATGGTTACTAGACTAGGCTGAGGGTCTTGGCCAGTAACTATGGGTTGTATGTTAAGCTGGAGGTTTGTAACCCAGGGACTGTTTCCAGGTGTAACAGAAGATCGTTTGGAAATTCCTCCAGCAGCTCAACTATATTCCTAGTATATATACTGGGCCTGTAAGATCTTAAAAAACATCTTCAAATAGCATTCTAAAAACAAAACAACAAACAGGGAGGGTAAAGGGAGAATGGGTAGGAAAGAGGGAACCGATTACATGGAACTGTGTGTGACCTCCTCCCTGGGGGACAGACAACCGAAAAGTGGATGAAGGGAGATGTCGGACAGGGCAAGATATGACAAAATACCCATTTATAAACTATCAAGGGCTCATGCGGGAGCGGGGAGCGGGGAGGGAGGGGAAAAATGAGGACCTAATGTCGGGGGTTTAAATGGAGAGAAAATGTTTTGAGAAACGGTGTACAAATGCGCTTTACACAATTGATGTGTGTATGGATTGGGATAACAGTTGTATGAGCCCCTAATAAAATGTTAAAAAAGAGAAAAAAAAAACCAACAACAACAAAAACCTAAACCAAACCCAAGTCAATTGTGTGTTCATTTTACAAGCCTAGCCCTGAGGTGCTAGGTGCCCCCTGCACAGGACCCAGCGCTTCTGGTCACCAATCAGGACCTTCAGCTTTGGGGACACAGGCTGCTTATGGAAATGCTACTTAGTACTTGAAGAGTATGTAGATCTATTACACAAGCTCTCCCTCTGCCCAGCAGTCTTCTGTTTAAACACCGTTTCTTTAAAAAGGAACTTGTACCGGGGACGGGCAGAGGTATTAAAGGGAAAAAAAACATGAACGTTGACTAAGCGCTCTCACCTTTCAAGGTCTAATTTTAGCACTTTCTCATACCTATTACTGTTCATTTAATATTCATGACAACCTCCTAAGATTGCACTACCTTTCACTTTGCAAATAAGAAAACCAAATGGTTCAATTGTCCCGGGCCGCCCTTTGGTGTGGAGCTGGGGTCTTACAGGTTTGCTGATTGCAAAGTTGGTGTGCTCTTCACGAAGACCCCTTCTCCTTCCTCCCACTTGGGAGGGCACTGAAAAGAGTGGTTCTCTCTCTTTTTTAAATAGTATTCTCCTCACTTGGGAAACAAGCAGTCTTGGTGCTGAGCAGCCCGTGAGATGCGCAGTGTCGGCTCACAAGTCCTGTCCAGCGAGCTTACTTCAGAATGCAGCCAAAAACCTAACTTTGATACTGCTGGTGGCGTTTCTTCAGGTTTACTTTTGTACTCCCTAATAGTGACTGTTGGACACAAAATTTTAGGCATCTGTCAAATAAATCTTTGTCATCAGATTAAAAAGAAAAAAAAAGGACTTGGAAATCCAAAATAAAGTAGTTAAGTCACGAGGACAGAACAGCCAGAACCCTGCGCCACGTCTAGGCACTGAGCACCCAGGGCATGCCCTCCTTTTCCAGTCACCACATCCATCCCTTTTGATTCCTTTTCTTTAGAGCCTTCCTTGTATTTAATTTTTTTTTAAATGACAACATTCTCTGCTCCACTGTTTCCAACCAAGAAACAAAAACAAAACAGGAAACAAACCCTTTCCAAATACACCCATGTGTTCAGAAACCCATGGAAGTCATCAAGATTTCTGACGTTCCATCTGTGACAGGATACGGTCTTATCACTTTTCTATTGCTATGAGTGGGAATTATGTTTTTCTTCTTTGACACCCTTCCACAGGTTCCGGCTTCCTCGGGCTGCACTGTGCCGTAACCAAGTTGGCTGCTTCTGTACCTACCTACCGGACATCAGGGTGTAGATGCACACTTCAGAATGAAGGGCTTCAGAGAAAGGTAAGATCCAAGAGAGGTCTTTAAACCCCGGGAAATTGTTCTGTGGTTAGGCGGGTGCCTGGAAGTTGGCACCAACTCATAGCAGCTCTACTTAGAATGAAGCACTGTCCGGTCCTGCACCATTCTCACAATGGCCGTTACTTCTGAGCCTGCTATTGCAGACACTGTGTCATCCCTTGTTGAAAGTACCAGCCTCCAGACTAGGTACTGTGAAAGGATCAACCCTGACCCATATCTTCTCCGATTTTAAATCATGCAGTGTTCCCTTTGTTCTGTTCAAATGACTACCTCTTTGTCTATGTACATAAATTAGGGCCTTAATTTTTTTCTTCACATTTTAACTTTCAGATAATTCACATATCATACAGCTCAATAGTTCAACCACAGCAAGAAGAGTTGCGCAATCATCACCACAATCAGTTTTAGAACATTTTCTTCAATCTTGTATTCATCATTAGCTCCCCATTTCCCCTCAATCTCCCCTGCCGTACCCTCAATGGACTATTTCATCCAGTTACTAACTCTGTAGATTCACTTATCCTGGATTTCATCTACACAAAAATATTAAAAAACAAACACCACAAAAAACCTAACAAGAAACAGGAAAACAGATAAAAACCTCAATCAAAAAGAAAACAGAAAATATTAAAAACTGAAACAAATTTAAATGGATCATCAGGAGGATCAAATGATAGGATGCTCTAACTTTTAACCTAATTGCATCTGCAACAATCCACTCTCCAATGCCTTCTGCATGCAAGGCTAGTCATATCCCTGGGTCCATGGTCAGAGGAGATTCACCGGGGTTTAATCCACATGTATTTCCCCTTCACTTAAAAAAAAAAAAAGGAAACAGCTTTAAACTGGGTCTCAAGGGAGATCAACTGAGCTTACCTTTGACCTAACTGTCTGCCACAATCGACTTGACCGCGCTCTCTGCTGACAGCAGAGCTTTTCATACCCCGAACTATGTTCAGAAAGGACTCACTAAGGCTTATTCCATGTGTGGACCCTGCAAATGGATCTTGGGCTTCCTCTGTCATTCATGATCTTCTGCAAACAAGGGGTTAACAATTTTAGATCTGATGCCATTCCCTCCTTTAGACTTGGACTGTATTTTTTACAATCCTTGGATCATACAGGCTGGTATGCTTCTTCCATGTAGACTTAGTTGACACTTCATTTGGATGGCTATTTGTTTGAAAACAAGCCTTTACGACTCCAGACACTATTCTTTCTTCTTTCTGCTAGCTGGGCACCATCTAGTTTCTTCATCACACGTTGCTATAGCACCCATATCTTTAGTGATCTCTTCAAAAGGTCGAGCATCAAGCAGGACCGTATAAGATTTGATTGTTCTTAGATTGGGACTAGAATAAGTACAAGCCCCAAATCCATTCCTGCACCTATGGTTTATATATATATATGGTCTACCTTAGAAGAAACATTGTCATTTTATGTTGAGAACATTATCAATCATCCCCGAGGCATCACTTCCATAGCCATCAAGCCAATGCTGACTTATATCGACCCTATAGGGCCGGGTAGAACTGCCCTGTGCATCTCCTCCAAGCCTGCAAACCTTCACAGCAGCAGAAAGCCTCATCCTTCCCAGGAATTAGGGGTGGTTGTTTTCAAAATCATTTGATTGAGAGCTCTTATAGATGTCATACCATTTCATGTTCAATCACATCAAGCAGTATTGTACAATTGCTACCACATGTTTCAAAACATTTTCTTTCTTCTTGCATTCCTTGATAACAGCTCCCCGTTATCCCCTCCCTCCCCTACCCAACCCCCCAGGAACCCTTGTTTATTTTTGACATATCTTACACCACCCACTATCAAATACAATCCTGTTGTTCACTTCCCTTGAGTGGGTTATACAGTCACCCATGCTCTCAGTACCCACCTACGTACGCCCTGCCCGTATCCTCAGGGCTGTTATTCTGAAGTTTGGGGTTGGAAGGGGATGCGAGGGCAGATAGTCGGGCAGTTTGATCACGTTGCTGCCACTGGCTGAGGATGTCCTAAGAAACAGACGCAGCTCAGTATCCACAGCCAGAGAAGCCAAAAGCTCTGCTCCGCGTCGCTCGCCTGCTCTGGTTCTCCAGCCAGCAGCCACATTCTCTGTACTTTCTGATCTTCAGTTCCGCACGGCCTGCAGTCTTGGGTCCATCAGCACAAGGACACTGAACCTCGCCTCCTTACTTTCTTATTTTGAAAGAAAACTGACCCTACTTGTTACCGAGCGCCAAGTGGAGAGATGGCAAGGGCACCCTGGATCTGGAATTAGGGCTTTTAAGTTAAGACACACACAAAATCAAAACTGTAACTGCCAAATTGATTCTGGCTCATGGAGATCCTCTAGGGCAGAGTAGACTTGCCCCCAGGAGTGATCACTGTGATCCTTATGGAAGCAGACTGCCAGATTTTTCTTCTCCAGAGAAGCTGGTGGGCTTGAACTGCTGACTTATTGGTTATTGACTGAGTGCTTTAACGATGACACCAGTAGGGCTCCTTTAAATTAACATAATATAGTGCTTACCTGTTATTAAATGAATTCTGATCCTTGGCACTCACTTCTCTCAACATTCCGATAAATTATCTTTTCCTTTCCAAATGAGACCATGTACTCCTCCCCAGAGCAAGGAACTATGGAATCTTGTATAGAGGATATGGGAGGCTCCAATATTTGGTTCATAATCCAATCTAGATTCAAGATGCCAGTTCATAAGGAGGACTAAAAAGTCTTAGACCAGATTGGAACTATATGCAATTCTTAACCAAGTTGATAAGTCCTAGACCCCTAGAGAAGTACCGTGGTGGATGCTTGAGTATTTCAGCCATGTGACACACATAACTGAAGTTAGCTGAAAGTCAGTAGTTGAAATTTTGAAATAACAGAATTTTATTTGAAATCATATTTTTTTGCTAACTTTAAAAAAATTATAGTTTGAAAAGCTGACCAAAGGGAACTGAAGAGACAAAAAGTAAGATAAAAAGGGAAATAGACGTTTCAACATAATGACTCTCCTTTGGCCAGTAGACAAGGGTATGTAATTTTTAGAGCTCTGTACAGAACAAAGATTTAGAGAATACTAGTCTGAAAAGGATGGTCCTGGGTGGTACAGTGTGTTGGCATGTTCAGGTAGGGAACTGTGGCTCTCTTTGCTATTATTAGTCATGGGTCTTTACTCAAAGCTTAAGGGCTAGCTGTCACAGGGAATCAGGTTAGAGCAGAGCTGCACTGCACAGGGTTTCCAGAGCTGTCACCAGCCACCAGGCCCATCTTCCAAGGAGCCTCTAGGTGGGTTCTAACCACCAATCTTGCAACTAATTGTTCAGGGCTTAACCAGCTGTCAGCCCAAACCCCCCAAAACCCAACCTACTGCCCACAAGTCAATTCCAACTCACAGCGACAATATACAAGGTTTCCGGGGCTGATGATCTTTATGGGAGCAGACAAGCCTCTTCTTTCTCTCTTAGAGCGGCTGGTAGGCTTGAACTTGGTGACCTTGCAGTCAGCAGCCAACACCTAACCCATAGCCCCATCATGGCTCCTTTGGTACCACCCAGGGACTCCCTAATCACTGTTGTTAAGTCTGAAATAAGCAGTAAAGGACTCTGAATTCAGGGACCCCAGTCTAAACCAGGCACTAGAGGAGCTGATCTTTCTTGTATGAGTATGAAGCCCTGAGGGTCTTACCTTTCTGAGCTCAGACACCACAATGAGAAGAATCAGGGTTTTCCAACATTAAAGGTGGAAAAGCCCTGCTCTGTCCACTTGCTATAGGCATTCTGCTCTACGAAGTTAAGATGCGGACCAGAAACTCTGAATCTACCAAATTACCTAGAGGTGCTGGACCTCTACACCTGGCCATTCACTCTTCTAGGTTATACCTGGTTCAGTAACTAGTATGAGTTCCTCAAGTACTAAATCAAACTTAAACCCACAGCCACTGAGTTGAATCCTACCCAGTATAGGGTTTCTAACCATGAATCGTTACAGGTACAGACAGCTTCTTCTTTCTCCCCAGGAGCGGCAGGTACAAAAAGGACACCTTGGCAAAAACACATGGAGAGCTGTCTACTGGAAGAACCGACTGTACTGTGACCCTGCTGCTATCACTGAGTTCGCAAAACCAGAAATAAGTAGGTTAACACAGAGCAGATAACAAACTTCAGAATCGCAAGCCCCTCAGACAAGCATGATGTAAAATATTCTTTATTCTACCTCTTTTCCGTTAGGTTGAAAATTTTGTTACTTAATTGTGCAATGACTTTAACTGTGCCCACCCCCACCCCCCAGTTTGTGTTGAAAACCTAAAGCCTCTATCGATAAATATGACCCTGTTTAGAAACAGAGACTTTTCTTTGGTTATGTTAAGGAGGCCATACCCGTACAGGGTGAATTTTAAACCTAATAACTTCTTTGTTACAAAGGAGCAGCGCACGCGCACACCCACACACAAAAGACAGATAGCAAAAATCATCAAAAATTTCCAGCAGCCCTAGAAGCTACCTAGACAAAGATCGCTCCTTAAAGGCATGCTCTGGACTTTCAGACTTCTTGCCTCCAGAAATGTGAGAAAATAAAATGTCTGTTCTTGAAAGCCACTCCCTTTGTGTTATGGCAGCACTAGGTAATTAAGATGGATAGTAAAGCTGGTTTAAAAGTAAACTTTCCATTAGTCAAGTAACCACGCTTAAATGTAGGTATTCATGTATTTTCCAGATAAACATTCCAGCGTCTTAGCATTAGCAAATGTTTAAAAAGAGTACTGCTTCATTTTATAGATATGAAACGTAGGCACTGAAGATACGGTTGGCCTTATGTGGCAGGAGGACAGGGGACACGTCAGCTCTCCCGCTTCACTCCATGGCCTGTGCTGCCACCATTTCTCCATTACTGATTCAAAATTTGAAGTCTCAGTGGGTCTTTTGATTTAAATACTTGTCAAGAGTCACTATTAATGGTGTAGGTGTGAGATTTTTAAAAGTTGAGATGAAACTCAAATTGAAATCTTAAACAAGAGGGGAAATACACTTTTACTAAGATAGTAAAAAAAACCCAAAACACCCTGAATTTTGGCCTGGAAGTAGGTAAATATCTTCCAATATTCCCCTCTCTCTGTTCCATCTTGGCACGAATCAAAATAAACAGAAAAGGGAACAGTCTACTTAGCTTAAAAAAAACCCACTCCTGTGCAATACAGTGTGAGCTTACCTCTACATCTGTTTGAAAGTTGAAAAGGTCTACTCTTTGCCAGTTGCTTCCATCCAGAGCTAAGATGTTCCACGCCTGAGAGGTGGGGGTAAAAGAAGGTGGATTGGGGGGAGGGAGAGGTAATTATTGAAACTGTTAAATAAATCATAGTTTGACTCAATCTCTGTACTTCAGAACTTCTATTACTGATATAGGAAAATGAGGAAATGAAATAATATCAGGCTGTATTAAATATAACATAATAAAATTTTAATTGTTAACTGTTTGCTTTAAAACCTATTCTCATTCTGATAAAATATTAGCTTTGTTGATGGAAAACATGGCTAATACTCTACCTTGGAAATCTGTGCACATCGGCACAAAGTTACTATGTCCAAGAAGGAAAATATTCTAAAAGGGGGAAAAAATACAAAAATGAAATGATGTTAATATTTCAGGATATTTATAACTTGAAAGGTAAAACCTAGTGTGCCATATTGAATATGTTCATTATACATTTTTTCAATATCCCTCAATTTGCAATACATTATAATGTTATATCACCACTGAGAAATACTGAACGTTAACATGTCCAGCTGTTTTAGACAGTACACAAATCCTCTTTAAAACGCAATGCACTCAGCTTTTGATGGCATTTCCCTAGTTCAAAGGAACTGGCATGGGACCACACTCATGGGACCACACTCTACAGGACAGGAGAACTGCCCCACAGGTTTGCCAGGGCTGAGTGCGGAATCTTCACCAATGCAGACTGGCATACCTGCCTTCTCTCCGAGCCCGTGGTGGGTTTGAATCACTGACCTGTCAGTTAACAGCGGAATGCTTAGCCAACATGCTACCAAGACTCCTATAACACAAGATAGATCACTTATCAAAATGCAAAGACCCAAACTCTCTAATCTCCCAGGCCCAGAGCCATGAGACGGCTCAATCGTCCTAGCTCTCAGCTCCTAACACACACTACAAATGCCTCTTTTAGTGGTAGACACACCAAACCAAGTATCGCGGCCAAGAAAAGCTCAATGGTAAAACTTATTCAGACGGATGCATTTGTTCACTGGGCAGAGGATGCATTTGTTCACTGGGCAGAGGATAGAGCTGATTGGCCAGGTCTGTCAGTGACCAGTTCTTCCTGGGTAAAATCTATGAAGCCACAGAAGATGGGAGAGATGGGAAAAACAAGAGCAGAGAAAAGCAATCACAAACATCGTTGCCACCCATTCTTCCACAGAGGCAGTAGCTGCAGCCAGCACAGATCCGATGTGGTCCGGTCTCTCTGGCTCTGGAGGAGAGGGGAGGCTGCTGATGGCTTGATGGCAAACAGCAATGTGCGCCTCCACTCTGTAGAGAAGCAGCTGGCCACAGAGCAGCTTTGCTTTGTGCTCGGGGTCAGGGACAAGAATAGCATTTTAATTCTGGACCTTGTGCTTCTGTGTGTGGAAGCACAGGAGGGAGATGGCAGTCTCCAAAGTAACAACCAGTGGTAAGGTGAAGGTCCCTAGGCTTGGTGAAGGCTAGCAGAACACTAAAATGTAACAGGAATATAAAACCGACAATAATATTCCCACAGGCAGTGCCATAGAGGTAGTAATAGCATAGATTCCAATCTACAATATAAGCTCCCATCATTTTCTAGTGGAAAACAAAGAGCAGACCTTAAGAGACTTAGCAGATCTTGTGCTTCGGAAAATGAAGGTGGCTGAAATATGCGTATTTAGGTACATGTATTATGTATAGTTCAAGGTATCTACACACCTGCCTCTAAGGGAAATATCTTTCCCCCACCCACAGGTTTCTTGCTCCTCCTAGTGTTCAGCACGTGTGTTAGAGAGCCAGTCCCCAACCAGCCAGAATGATTGGCAGGTCGTGAAAAAGAAACGAGTCTGACAGTAGAATTACATTACATGCTGGGTTGGGTTCTCACGCACAAAATGAAGGCGAAAACGGAATTAGCTAAATTCCCTTAGAAGATCCCTCAACGTTGTATAACATGGAGAAACCACATATTCTATTATCTCCTAGTGATAGAAACATTGATGATAATAAAAATAGCTGACACCAATTCGATATTATCATGGATTAAATAGTATCCCCTCAAAATGTGTCACCTTGGCTGGACCATAATGCTCAGTTTGGCAGTCATGTAATGATGTAGTCATCTCCATTATGTGACTGCTGATCAATCAACTTTAAGAGGACTAGGGTTGATTGCGACACCCTTACTCAGGAGATGGCCTTGATCCCACATAAAGGTGATTTCCCTAGGGGCTGGGGGAGATGGCCTACATCATCTTTTATCTTAAAAGAGATAAAATAAGAAAAACGCAAGCAGAGATGGAGGGATGGAGCTGACTACCACCAGGAAATTGGAGCTAGAACAGAGATGTCCTTTGGACCAAGGTCTCTGTGCTGAGAACCTTCTAGACCCAGGGGAAGAATGATGCCAAGACACATGGAGAATTTCAAGGAACCATGGGCAAGAATCGTCAGACAGAAGTTCCTATTTGTCATCTCGTGCTTATTACCCAATGTTATAGTTACTGAATGAAAAGGCCAACCGCTGTGTGTGCCGTTTTCTCCCTCCTGCCCCTACCCCATCTCCTTTGGCAGTATATGCAAGTAGGAATGCCAGGACTCCAAACTGCCCAAAATGCAGCATACGCCAAAGTCCAAAACCAAGTTTCAGTGAATAAAATTAATGCCCAGAACGACATTGCCTAGAACACAGGCAACAGATACAATAACAACAGAAGTTACAGAAGTGGCCAGATGAGTTCTGGTCCCTCCAAAGTGCTTTCTCCTGGAAAGTGCTTCCTACCTCAGTTCCAACCCCACCCTCCGTGCGATAATAAGCACTGCAGGAGCACCGGGTTGTAAGTGTATGTAGCTGTGTGATAGGAGAAATACTTCTGAAGCTGGCATTTTATCTCATTGGTCTGTTTGTCCTTCTGCCAGTAAGATCCTAACTTTAATGATGAACCTTCATAATCTTGATTTCAAGTCCTTCGATTCTGTTCATCTTCATCGTCTTGGTTATGTGTGGCTATCTTGCTTCTTTGAACTCCCACTAAGTTTTACATTCAGCATTATCAAGATCAATAAACTTTCTTTAATTGTTTCTGAAATTGTAATGGAGCTATACACAGTTTGGTGACTAAAACTGTTATATTAAGTCTTTGATCCAGAAACATGTTAATCTAAAAACAGAAAACCTATTGCCAACTCAAGGCCATCTAGATTTTCTTATCTTCTAGAAGTGTTATAGCTTTGTATTTTATAGTTGGCTCTATGATACATTTTGAATTAATTTTTGTGACAGTTGTAAGTCTGTATCTAGATTCTTTTGGTTATTTCTTGGCATATAGATTCTTCCAACATCACTTCTTCAGAGACTATCCCTCTCCCCTTGAATTGCCTTTGCTCTTGCGCAAGATTAGCTATCATTTGCCGGGACTATGGATTTGGTCTTTGGTTATTTCTGGACTCTATTCTGTTCCATTGACTAGTCTACTTTTGACACCACACTGACTTGGGCGCTGCAGCTTTATTGTAAGTCTTGAAGTCAGGTACTATCAGTTCTCGGACTCTGTTCTTCAGTATTGTGTTGGTTATTTTGAGTCTTCTACTTTTCCATCTAGATATTAGAATCAGCTTACTGATAAGCACAAAATAATTTATTTTGATTGCAGTTTGTACTGAATCTACAGATTAAACTGGGGGTGGGTGGGGAATGACATCTTAACCATAGTGAGTCTGCCCATCATAACATGTAATTTCTATTTACTTAGATTTCCTTTGATTTCTTTCATCAGAGATTTTCGTTTTCTACATATAGATCCTGTATTAATTTGTTAGATTTAAAAAGGAATTATTTCATTTGAAGGGGCACTGTGACTAGGAGGAGCCACGGTGGTATGGTGATTAAAGCACTTGGATGTCAGCCAAAAGGTTGATGGTTCAAACCTACCAGCCACTCTGCAGAAAGATGTTGCCAATCTAGTTCCAAAATGATCAGTCTAGGAAACCCATATTCTGTCACATGGTGTCACTATGAGTTGGAAACGAATTTGACTGCACCAAATAACAATAATGTAACTGGTGCTGTGCTTTAATTTCAAATTCCAGTTTGTCATTGCTAGGCTATAGGAAAGTAATATACAAGGTATAAGATATAGTGTTTATACTATTTTAATATAGTAACATTTGTGTCTCTATTAGCACATTATAAGGCATAACAATGGGTCTAATAACTGTTATTTCAAGTAGTAGTGAGCATAAACAATTTCAAGATTATTGTTAACAACGATAAAAAATAGAAATGCCTGTGATTTCTATTGCTGACAAAGTCCCCAGTTGCTTTCACGTTGATCTGACACGTGAGCACTTCAAGTGTCAGAGCAGAATGCACTGCACAGCGTTCTTGGCCATTTTTATACTCTATATCCTAACCAGTGCATTTAATCCATTTATATTCAGTATAATAGCAGATCATTTATGACTGTCATTTTGCTGTGCGTGCGCACCGGTTTCTTTGTTCCACATAATCTTCTGTGCCAACCTCATTTTGTTTACAGGTTTTCTTGTCATTTTCTTCATTGTTTTGTGTATTTACTAAAGCTTTATAGTTCCGCTTTTTAATTGTAAGGAGGTTTATTAATTTTCTTCGAGGTTATCTTGTAATGTATTAATTACTCCCCAAGTTTGAACAATCTGCTCTGTCTTGAAATCTACTTGACTTCCTCTGTTTAAAAGTTCTTTAACTACACCATCCCCTCTTATTACTGTGTAATTAATTATTTTTTATATAAACCACTCTCTCTGGTTCACTATTTTCAGCTTCAGACTTTGATATTCACATATCTGAACTGACGTCTGGGTGGTGGTGCCATGCATGTTGGTCTCAGATTGTTGTCTGCTGTTGCGATTCTCTGTCCAAAGAAGTCCGTTTACTACTTCCTGTAAGGTTGGTCTGGTTTTCACAAATCTCTTTAATTTTTGTTTGCCTGGAAATGTCTGCTGCCACCGTCACCACCTGCATGCTAGACAAAGACTTACAGCTCACACCGAGGTCTATGGCCTCTGCCTCACCTGCCTGTATTCCTTCCACCTGTGGTCCCAGTGCTGCACCAGACTAATTTGGGGGTCTTTAAAACCATTAGGGGAGATAATTAAAGGGAAGCTGCTTTCCTTTAAAAAAAAAAAAGGAGGGGGGAGGGTTAAGGGACCAGGGGGGTATGCACCAGCCAGGCATTTTCCGAGCAGATGTTAAGCTGTACTTCTAATGCTTTGCTTATTATTTCTAATGGGTAAGTGTATCATCGGTAATGACTACTTTAATTACTCCTATTCTTTTTTTTTTTTTGAGGATGAAGATTTTTAACTTTAGTAGC